TGTGACCCTTGAGGTCGAAAAAGAATGTTTTGGAACTTCTGAAATTCTATATGAAAGAGCACAGAAAGCACAAAAATTTTGCCTGGCTTAAAGAGACTAATAATCCCCGAAATATAAGAAAACTTTGGTTTGTGAGTATGTAGACAGTTGATCATATTAGTAAGTGGTTCTACACAAAAAGTGACTCAGTGCTTAAAGCAAGGAGATAAAATTTTTGTAGGTACAGTTAGAATTTGATATTTTTTTTTCTGTTGTCTTTGTGTTATCATGAGTCTTTTAATTCATTAAGGAATGCTAAAAATCAATATTTAAAATTGTGTTAAAACTCACAAAATAGTCATCATTGACTTATGGGTATATAGTTTTATGGCAAAGTTTGAATTAGGAAGGAACCTTTTTGTTACCTTTGCTCAACTGATCTCCAGCACAGGGCCTGGATTATACTAGACTTTGAAACATATATAGAATATGAAGATATTAAACATTACGTCTATATGAAAGGTTACAGCTTAGCCTGGTGCAGATTTTATTATGATGACCTTAGCAATAATTATTGTAATGGTTGCTTATTGAATACATATTTTTAATCCTGAAAGTACTTACTAATCTGTGTGTATGTATGTTTGTGTGCATTTGATTGCTTTCCCAAGGAAATTACACACTTGCTTCAAAGACGTTCCACCAGGATTTTGATTTCCAGGATTCATTTTGTCCCATGCCTTTAACAAAGTCACACACTATGCGTATATGTGTTCTTATGCATGATAGACAGCTTCAAATTTGAAGATTCTTCCTTTAGCTACGTATATTGCTGAGTAAACTAATGTGTATATATATATATAAATATATATATATATAGTATACATTATGTACAATATATGTATGTATAATATATATGTTATGTGTTTTATATATATAGCATATACTATATGCAATATAATATATATGTATGCATCAAGAGTATACATGAATGGTATGCCTTATTTATAATTTGTGTGTAATAACATAGGAACAATAAAAAAGTGAAAGTTATGTGATATTTCTTGTTTTCTGCCTCCTTGATCACTTTTTCTCCTGTGAATATGCATTTGTAAGCTTTATCTTCATAACCTACCTCTGTCTAGAAAGACCATGAATACAGAAAGAGCACATGAGGACTTTCATATGAGCAATTTATTCCTTAAATCATTATCATCTTGGTTCTCAGTGGATTCAACCTTAGCGCATTTCTATGGTTGACTTTATCCTATTTGGGATTCAATTTTAAATTAAATTTTAATGAGGTAATTTCCTTTTTCTTACTCACTGAAGAAAAATAAGGATGAATTTTCTCCTCTTTTCCTCATAAAATATTTCTACTTAAAAAAAAAACTTGAAATAAAATTATCCTTTGAGATTTGTAACATATTTTTTAGCTTGGGGCTTTTCTTTTTGATCACTTACATTTATTGCTTTTCCTCTTGGACCCTTCATAGGAATCTATAAAAAGATTTTTTTTTTCCCTTAAAGATGAGCAGGATTTCCTCTTTATCTTAAATTCACATCCTTGTTCCCAATTCACAAAGCTGTTTTTGCTACATTTCAGACATTTATCAAAAATAGATGCCTAAGATTGTTAAGTACACATTTGTTTTTCCTCAGAAATATTATTTTATTTATAGGATTTTGTTGCCTAGTGGCATGCATATTTTTCTTAAAAGCATACTATAATATTTAGAGAATAAATAGAACATATTTTTTGTTAAACTATGAACAATAAAAACAAATCATGCTAATTAATTAGTTTGTCATATATGAACTAACAGCAAGCACTTTAGCCCTATTAGTTCCAACCAAATTAGAGATTTTTAAAGAGAATTTTTTAGGAATTCAGATCACTCTCCCATTTAACATAGATTTGCATTTAAATATCTTTTAACATTGTTTCTAAATTATTTGTTATTCAGTGAGCAAAACTGATGGTTATTGCATTAAAGTTTTAATGAATAAAGGTTGAGAATATTTAATATAATTTCATGATAATAAGTATGAGGACAGATTAATAATGAAAAATGTAGAATATGATCTTTCATTATAGCTGGAAGGTTAAGGAATTAATTTTAAAGACCGTGCAATGGAAATAACTGCCCCAATATTTTATTAACCAATTCTTAGATCAGTTTAATCAAATTTCCTATTCAGAGCATGTCTATTTTCTTATTTAGTAGCTTTAGATCAACATTTCCATCAGTCCATTAGGTTAATAGAATTCAATAAATAATACCCAAGTAAGAATGAGATGATATTACATGATTATTTCTTGATCAGCTGCCTTATTTTATTAATCAGATACATCAACAGTTCTCAAACCAAAACAAGTGTGAATTTCTTAGCTGCCTTTTAAATATGAGGCTGTTCAATAGCACTGCCTTCAATACAAGCAGCTACCACTCACCAGAAAAAAAAAAAAAAGGAATATTTAGAATACTGTATGCTTCACAAATAATTATTTTCCATTGATTGAGTGATAATTTAAAGTATGACTTTTTCCCTATAAAATTAAAATCTCAGTGTATAACACACTCAGATAACACATGACTTATCCTTTATACCTTAAAAAAATATGTTCTTAATAAGTACAAACAATGGCTGGGAATCAATACACAAAGTATTGTTTATCACAATATTACTCTGGTTTTACCTTTGGCAACGCATGGGGTCTTCACTACTGAAAAAAATACTTGCAGTAGGACAAATTTAATATCATGCTGGGGATGTGAGTGTATAGATGTTAGTGCAAAGCGGAGGGCCAGCCAAATGCTGGTAATTTAATTAGTTAAGGAAATAGAGCTGAGTACAATAAAAAAGACAAAGGAAACCTGATCTAATAAATGCTTAAGTCAGTTGGGATGAATGGCTATCTCTGTAAAGCACAAATTAGAAGTTTTGAATAAATAAATGCTAATTATTTCACTTAAAGTAAACAAAAAAGAAAGAATTACAGCGTCTTCCTTTATTCCATGCTCACAATAGATGGAAACAAGACTAGTAAGGCAGAGCATGCAGAAGTATATCATGGCAATCCAGAAATTTGTAACAGGATGGTGGCAGGATATATGAACAGTCATTGCTTATCAGATATATTTTGAAGGTAGAGCCAGTAGATTTTCAAAAATACTGAATATGGAAGATACCAGAATAAATGGATCAAAAGATGATTGCAAGGTCTTGGGGGAGACAGAACTGTCATCACGTAACTTTGGACAAGTTGAGGGTAGGGCAGATAGAGGTATGGAAATTTAAGTTAATATTTGAGTACATTCCACTCACTTATGCAAGTAGGAATTTAGAATAGTTACTTGGATATATTTTTTCATGATAGGAAAATGTTTATCATAAATCACCATCTATATTTTTATGTATATCATATGCCAGTATATAGATGAGTGTAACAATGGGTAATATTATCAAGTGTCAGTATTTAGAAAAAGAATAGAGAAAAAAAAAATCTAGGGCCTGATCTATTTCCAATGTAGTTTTAAAACTTAAATTTCCTCCGATAAAACCTTTTGTTTATGAACAGTTCCAATAATTAGAATAAATTCAAGTAAGTCTGGTGCCTAATACTTTTTCAGACCATTAAATCAAGTCTTTAATATTTGTTAGCTATTGATGATGGAGTTATTGAGATGGTTTTAGTCTTCGTAAATTTTACAACATACTGACATAATAGAATACATAAATGCTTACTTATAATTATTTGTTTAATTATTTGGTATTTCAAAATGTCTGTAGTGATCCCTGGTGGCACAAGAGCTTAAGTCTTAGCACTATGACACTGTCCACACCCACTGAAACGTGAGTTTCATACCCAGGCAAGGAGCTGATCCACATGGTGCAGCAGGCCTCTCCTTTCTTACCCACTGCTCCCCTCAGCAGTGTATTTCAGTCAGTGGCCTGTTCTGTTTCCTACTCTGTCTCTGGTGAATATTCTCATCCCCCACACCTCTGGCTTGTACCCCGGATCTTGTATGCATAACTAAATAAATCTTTTAAAAAGTAAAATGTTTGGTAGCAGATCAGATATTGCTCAATTTCCCCTATGTAAAAAAATCACTGGAAAATTATCCTGCAGTGATATTTGCTCCTTTAAGAACGAGAACTGAAAGAAAAAGAAAATTAGAATTGTTGGTAGAAAAAATGGGCAATAATAAAACTTAAGTTTTATTCTCCGAGTCAAATCAGGGCAAGCTTTCTGTTTGTTATTTATTCACAGATTTGCAGATGATTACTAAGACAATTCCCACAATTTTCCTTTCCCATGTCTTAGAGGGCCTATATTCTGGTTTTTTTTTTTTTTATTACTCCAGTCATTAGTAAGTCATCATATTCCATAAGATTTTGTTTCCAGTTTGCATGTCCCTGGTTCTTTCGAGATATTTTTCTAATATAGTCACATGAGGTTTTCTCACTAAAATTAGCAGTGAAAAAGTTCACTTTGTCAATTGACGTTTTTAATGTTACCCAGATTTGAGACCCTATTCCATGAATTATCTGATTATGAAGAAAAAAAAAAAAAGAACCTGATATATTTTCATATATATAGTTCTGAAAACTATACTACTGATGGAGGAAGAATTTAAATGTGTTCTCTGTACACTATAACACATGCTACATTTAATCTCAAATAAATTAACTCGATCTCATAGCAAAGATTTGTCCAAAAAAGATCCTTACAATTTATTATACACAAATATAATGTTTTATATTTCAAATTTTTACATATTCTACTTAGTATCAGTGGTTTGATAAACAGTTATTAATATTTAAGTGGCTGATGTATTTAATCAAAATTTGTAGGGAAGCTCTTCTGTAGTCTTATACCATCTAGTTTCAAATCACATATAGTAAATTAACTGCTTTTCCCTGGGTAAATCATGTTTTACTTTTTATATGTAAAAAGAAAAATCTGTGTAAATGAAATCAGAACTACCTCTAGGAATTAAATAAAATGAAATTTATTTATAAATACTAGTTTATTTCATAAAAATACAAAAATATAAATATACATTTATAAAAATATGAGTGGATTAACACAAAGACATTTTTTTCAACTAAATAAATATGGCAGTAATAGTCATTCCTATTTCTTTAGGGATATATTTTTCCATATTAATTTACAAATTCATTGCACAATGCTTTAATAGTAAAGTTGGCTGTAAGTCAATTAAGAAAACCGTTATAAAGTCCGTATAGCTAAGAAAAGGCACAAAAAGCCTTTTAGTTATTTCTTACTGATTATTGATGTGATATAATTTCTTCAGAGAGTGTTAGGCAGAGGGTGAACTGGTTATTATTACTTTTAAAATCTATGTCATTCGTATTCATTCACAGAAACTTACTGATTAAGCAAATCCTTACTAAGACAACACCTACGTATTGTTTATAATTTCATTTCTGAAAAAAAATTTCCTTCAAGGAAGAGAATGCAGGCCACTCAATCTAGTAACAAAGGGTACTTCCACTAACATTGATGAAGTCATACAACACCCTTACTCTCGGTCACTGTCATCACCCCCATACATATCGGCAAGTTTTTTAAACCGAGGCCCCCAGTCGCTGAGGTAATCGTAATCTTGGTTACAATCTGCTGTGAGTGACTCTAAAGAGCTGAGGGAATCTGCTATGGAGTCGTTTCCTTCGTAGGCGTAAGTCGCCAGTGAATCATAAGGCGGAGCACTTGGGTCTGAGTCATTTTCTTTCAATCGTCTATGGATAAAATCTTGTACATCGATATTTTCCCAGAGAGGCACAGTCCTCCTAATCTGAAAAATAGTTTCAGGCATTACGTCTCTTCGCAGTTTATTGTCTTCCCGTGCTTCTGGATTCCTTAACGTACCAATGTCAAAAGCTTGAGTGTCTTCCTCCCCACCACCTTCATCGTTGTAAGTCACGATGTTGTCGCGGACATCATCTTTTGAAATTATCAGCGGTTCCTTTTTCCTTTGTCTCTTTAATGCAGCAAATAGCACAACTAAAACTAAGGAGGGAGAAGAAAGGGAGAATGAGAAGAAAAGGGAAGGGGGGTGAGAGACAGAGACAGAGAGCAATGAGTAAATGCACATAAAGAAGCAGGTATTGAAGTGAAGTTTAATGCTTTCAATTCTCAATCTGGTATTGAGTTTGGACACTGAAAAAGCTTTATTCAAATATGGCGGTTGCAGTCAGTCAAAGGCAATTATATGATACCTCATCGTTCCAATGCATACTTCAAAAAACTATGAAATTGCAATCACTGAACACTAAGCACACATTTGTTCTTTAAAATATATATTTTTCCTATTGTGGTAACATTGCTTTAGAACACTGTAAGATTCAGAGATGTAGATGCACACCTCTTCAGATGCATGTTCACAGACAACACTCACACCTTTCACTGGAGTCCATTGGACTCCCTTTCTACTTTGTTCCCATTCTGCCCCTGTTCCTGAGAGTTTCATATTTTCTTACTAAATCTAAGGAATTTTTACCTCCCTGGTGGTGCAAGGGATTAAGAATTAGCACGAAGAGGGCTCTCCCTGGTGGCGCAGCGGTTTGGAGCGCTGCACTG